TGTACAGGATTTACCTGTCCAGGTGTGAGCATGCTCAGTGTGTCCTGTACAGGATTTACCTGTCCAGGTGTGAGCATGCTCAGTGTGTCCTGTACAGGATTTACCTGTCCAGGGGTGAGCATGCTCAGTGTGTCCTGTGTGGATTTACCTGTCCAGGTGTGAGCATGCTCAGTGTGTCCTGTGTGGATTTACCTGTCCAGGTGTGAGCATGCTCAGTGTGTCCTGTGTGGATTTACCTGTCCAGGTGTGAGCATGCTCAGTCATGATGCAGATTCTGCTTTATTTGAATAAAAAATGGTGCAAAGCTAAAAGTCAACAAGGTGTTTAATGAAAGTTTAGTAATGTTTATATTTGTGGAGATGAAACAGTTTGTCTGACTGTAACGATCATAAAGAAGCAGGAAGTCAAAGCCTTGCAGCCAATGAACAAACAGCTGACTCTGTGTTTCTGACCACAGCTGGGTTTTTCCACTTCCTGGGACTCCGCAGATTTCTGTGGTCTTCCCGACAGGAAGTCCTCCTTCCAGAGCGTCATCCAGCTGTGAGCAGAAGGTTATGATGCTCCTGCAGCTCTCCTCCTTGTGCAGGAGCTCCAGAGCACTGAGAGAGGCTGCACCTCCTGCTCCTGTCCTCACAGCCTGCAGCACCTGCAGCGCCTCCTGCTGGGAGACTCCAGCCTCTGCAACAGAGCAGGGCTTAGGTTAGTTATCAGTTAGTAAGTTATCAGTTAGTTAGTTATCAGTTAGTTAGGTTAGGGTTAAGTTAGGTTAGTTATCAGTTAATTATTTATCATTTAGTTAGGTTAGGGTTAAGTTAGGTTAGTTATCAGTTAGTTAGGTTAGGGTTAAGTTAGGTTAGTTATCAGTTAGTTATCATTTAGTTAGGTTAGGTTAGTTATCATTTAGTTAGGTTAGGTTAGTTATCAGTTAGTTATCATTTAGTTAGGTTAGGGTTAGGTTAGGTTAGTTATCATTTAGTTATCATTTAGTTAAGTTAGGTTAGTTAACCCTAACCGTGACTCAGCTGTTTTATAACACTTCAGTGACTCAGCTGTTTTATAACACTTCAATGACTCAGCTGTTTTATAACACTTCAGTGACTCAGCTGTTTTATAACACTTCAGTGACTCAGCTGTTTTATAACACCTCAATGACTCAGCTGTTTTATAACACTTCAGTGACTCAGCTGTTTTATAACACTTCAGTGACTCAGCTGTTTTATAACACTTCAGTGACTCAGCTGTTTTATAAAGCTTTACTGACTCACTTGTTTTTACAACGCTTTTATGACTCAGTTTTTATCAATTTTACTGACTCAGCTGTTTTATGAAGCTTCAATGACTCAGCTGTTTTTATAGTTTCTCTCAGCTCAGACAGCAACATTAGCAGCTGTCAGAATATAAATACATGCCTTGTGTATAAATACATACTCTGTTACTTTATAAAGTTTCTCTCAGCTCAGACAGCAGCATTAGCAACATTAGCAACATTAGCAGCATTAGCAGCTGTCAGAACTATAATATTTGGTCAGTAAATAGTTCAAAGTGCTATAAATCAATAAGTGTGATCAGTTTGTGATCAGTGATGATTATTGGTGCTGAAAAGCAGAACTCAGAGCACTGAAGCGTCCTGCTGCCACCATTCAAGACTTAAATCTAAGGTTTTTTGAACTGAGTCTGGTGTCTCTGCTGCTCCGGAGTTCGGCGGTACCTTGGCTGAGTTGTTCCGGGCTCAGGTGCTGCAGGTCCGAGGTGAACTGGAAACCAGCTCGGCCCAGTTTGACCTTCGTGCTGGTTCCTAGATTCAAACTAAAGATCGGCCGCCTCATTTTTACGGCTGTCCCAGCATGCTTATCGTATTAAAGCAGTTCCGGTTTGTTTTTTCAAAATAAAAACGTTCCGTTGGACATGTTCTACTGTATTTTCAAAGAAAGGTTCATTA